AAACAAAACTTTAAAGACTCAAGCTTCATGCACATTCATTATGTCTATTTGCACACCTAAGGCCTCTAATTGGTTGTTTTGCTTATCTCTTACAAATAGATTTGGAGATGACTTCCTTCCAATATTCCTTGTCCCAAACTTGGCACAAGTCTCAAACTTCTTTCTTCGAGTGTGTAGCCAAAACCAAATTTAAAGCATGGTAAATAATTCATGTAGAAATAAAAAATATATAAATAAAATAAAACATGCTTCTTTAAATATATTAATTCTTATACTATAACATTTTGTATATTGTTTATATATATATATATATATATATATATATGTATATATTTGTGTATAGATGTTGACACACATGCTAAATCTTTTTTTTAATTAAGTCTTTTTATACTAAATCTTTTTTAATTTTTAATATTTATACATAAATAAAAAAATTAATGAACATATATATTTTTTAAAGGAATATATTTACATTGTATGTTTAATCTTTATAAACTATGTTATTGATATTTTTATTTTTTTAAGTTGATAGCACTATCAAATAAATGTTATCTTTGTGTGTGTATATATATATATATATATATATGTATATATATATAATTAAATAAAATAATAAAATAATGTCCTTTATATTTAATTAAGTCAATATCATTATATTTTTATAAATATTATAATTTCTACGATGATAATTAATAAGTTTATAATTTTTTAATTTGATAAAATTAGAAAAATATATTTATGCTATAAATAAATTAAGGAATATATTCTCTGAATGTTTTAAAATAAATCATATCTCTTCATCATTTTAAACTTGGAATTTTTAGTTGATTTCCAATCCATCAAAATTCTCTTTTTTCTATATATTTACTTATTTTGATCAAAATTCTCATATAAACATGTTTGTGTTGAATGACATGATTTACAATACTCAAATATGATTACTTATTTATTTATTTTTAATCACAAAATTTAAGTCATGTGGTATTGTTATTGGATTGAATATTCTCTGTAAATTTTTCAAATGTATATTATATGGTTTTATCTGTTTTCAGTTTGCAAGCTTTTTGTTGTAATGCTTTCTCAGAAATTATTGGATAACTTTTAGATAAGCACATATTATATATGGAAGTAGACGCGGAAAGTTTCAACTGTAAAGTTCGTTTTCTTTCATATTATTTTAATAGTGTTTATTGATTTATTTTTAATGAATAAATTAATGCAAGTGATTTAGCACTAGTCAGGTTTACAGCACATACTCATTGCATATCTTCTACATATGAAGATTTACATGTGAAAAAAAACTAAGTAATTTTTTCAGAATTTTAAAATGGGGTTATTTGTAAATAATTAAAAATTATTGTCTAACATGGAGAATAATCATAGTATGTAAGAGTATTTTCTGATAAACTTATTATTTGGAACCCTTTACTATAATTATATATTTTATATTTGTTTTTTGATGATGTGAAAACTTTTTTTTTCTTGTGGTTGGTATTATTTAATTTAATGCTTATTTTCATTGTTAAATAAAATAAATATAACTGGGATTTTTTTATCACACTGCAAGGTATATGCTTCACCAAAAACTACACAGTATTATCTATTAATAGGTTTTTAATACAACAAAATATATAAATAAAAATATATTGACAATTTTTTATAACACATTTGTGAAGAAATTTATATCAATTTGACATTCTAGAGTGTAAAATTTCTTCAAAATCAAAATGTCAATCAAGTAAATTAGGCTGCATATCTAAACCCACAGAGAACAAATAATGGCACTTAATTGTTTCCATGAGAAAACCCCATAACTACGTAAGTCTTCAATATGAAACATCCATGTTATATTTCATGATTTTGAATATGTTACTCTGGAAAGAAACAATAACGCTGTCTACAACAGAACAAAACTGTCCCACATTCTGAAAATTGTAACACATCAATAACACATGTGATATGAGATTTGAGGTTTAGGGTCATGGTGCATGCCAAAACCTCAAATTCTTTCCAGCACACACATTCAGATCTCATTTATTTTTTGTTTCCATGAGGTCTTGGTAAAGAGATGTTGAAAATCCATAAATAAACAATAGGAGAGATATTTGCAATGATCACATAATACAATAACAATGACAAGTAGTTGTACCAAATAAGTTGAGAATTCAAAAAAACTCAACTGTATAATTCTTGTCTTGTGTGATAGAAATTAACACAAGATAAGCACTCTGCTCAATCAATCAATCAATCATTCAAACAAACCACAACAACAACAACATCCAGAACCACATAAAAAAGAACTAACTCAAGCAATGAACTGAATGGGAGAAATCACTGAAGCAAACAGAGCAGTAGTCTATGGAAACTGGCAGCAGAAGAAAGGGAAATGAAAAATGAGGAAAATAAGAAGAAAAGTAAGGTTGGTCTTTTTGCATACATTCAGTCCCATTTCACATAATAGAAGCATGCGTTAAGTTGAGGATTCACCAGGATCTTCAGTAGTCATCTGTTGTGTTCCCATGACATGGGAACATGGGAACATGGGAACAACTTGCACCCAGGCAGGAGCTAACCAGGCAGGCATGGCAGGCCCTGAAACAAACAATCAAGCAAGGTAGGTCTCTGCCAATTCTCCCCAAAATCCAACTGAGGATCAGGCTTCAGTTCCAAGTGGAATTTCTAGAATGTATGTCATGGATAACTGTATGGCAAATGAGCAATGAAAAACTAAAAATAAAATAAAAATAAAAATACACAGTGCCCCAAAACAAGCAAACAGTCCCATGACTACTGTGGCTTTATACATCCTGGAATCAGGTCTGAGAAGACATGTCTTGCCTGCCCTGCATCCAGCCATGAAAAATGTTCATTCATCCATCTATTTATTCATCCATCCCTCTGTCCTCAATTGGGTTTGAAAGGAATTTCTACAGCCCTCCACCCTTCCACTCTGGGCTCCATTCAACTGTCACAATTACATTTACTTTACTGTGTTATCATTTAAAATAAATAAATGTAGACAAGAATGAAATAAAATGAAATGGTGTGTATAATGTGATTCTGAGTGGGAAATTTATGATGCTCTTTGATGGTTGTTTACTGTACTCACGAAACACACACCTTATTATATAAAATGCTAGACATGAGCTATAACATCAGAAGGAGCTATAAAAAGATCCTGTGTTTAAACATTTATTATTATCACTACAATGAAATTATTTCTTTCTTTCTCCTTGTGTGTGTGTGTGTGTCTAAAACTCATGGATTCTCCACATTTGACAAGCTCTTTGCTCTTTTTGATTGTTTATTATTTTTTTCATTTTTATTCATAGTTTGTTTGTTTGTTTGTTTTTCTAGGTGTGTATGGTTGTGTATATATATATATATATATCTATGTAAAGATTGACCCCTATGGCAGTATTGTTAGGAATGGTAGTTAATGGAATATATATCACATGTGCTATTTTGGGTATTAGTGAAACAATTGGCTTGAGTAACATCATGGGTTTGTGAAGCTATTACATTAAAAAAAAATACAAAAAAATGAGGGTGCCTGAATTCCCATCTCCTGGTGCCTACACATAATATTCATTTATTTTTCTCTGATATATATATATATATATATATATAGGTGCAGTTACCATTATGGTGTACTTTATGAATATTGTAACCATCATTTGGAAGTATATAAGCAATGTTTTGTACACAACTTTTCTTTTTTCACACACTTTATTGTAGGGCACACATAATGTTTTGCACCAATTAGAGTTACTTTAGATTGAGCATGGGAGTATAAATTCAGAATGTTGGATCATTGTTTGAAAAATGTTTAAGACATTATTGTTAACATTATTCAGAAATACTGTAAGAGTATGACAGTTGATGCTCAAAGACTGATGGTAGAACTTGCATGACTAGCATATATTTATTAGTAACAAACAATGAATTATCAGTGCAAATGAAAAAAGAGGAAAGGATAATGCTGAGAGAGATCCCACTATGACAACACTGCTGGAAGGGTCTGCATCAAATCACAGACAGGGTGTACTGCTTGTTGACTGGTTTGTCTATCTAAACCCATTAACAAATGTAATAAAACATATATAATTTTGAAGGGGAAGAGCAAAACATGTCTTGACAGAGTGAGTGTGCAGGGGGAGGGATGCCTCATCAGAGTGGCAGAGAGCTTCATTACGTGTGTACTTCCACTGCACAGATGACAAAGTAGTACTTAGCAACACTTTTGTAGTAATCCTGATGCAATTCTTATCCTGTCCTACATAGTACTCTGCTACCTATGGCCTTCATTCAAACACCATTTCACTATACTAACTGTTTACTAGTTTGTTATTGTGTGTGCATAGTGAGGGTCAGTATATACTAGTGAACATAATGGGTGGGAGACTTGTATAGTGTAGTTTGGGAAAGGTGCACGATTGATTGACTTTGAGGTCCAAACTTACTAACACTAGCAGGTCTTACAAAGCTCATGGGCTAGAAATGAAAGAGGCTGTGGAAAGAGCCAACAAGAGAGCCGCCCTAAGCCCAAGTCCAAAAGCCCAAGTGGGTTGTGAGACCGTGAGAAGCTTAGCTATAGTGGAAAGGGGAGCAAGTCATGTGAAATGGCTGTGTTTTCTTCCTACTGCAAAAAGGGGAAGGAAGAAGAAGAAGAAGAGAGACAGAGAGCGAGAGAGAGAGAGCGCATCCCTCCCTGGTAGGCAAACGCTACCGAGCCCAACCGTTAAAAAACATACAACAAGAATAGGAGCAAATCCCGGCATTAATGCCTGGCACTCGAACTTATCCGGAGGGCAGAGAAAAACCATATAAAAATCAGGCCAAAAACACATGAGCAGAAAATGAACGTGAAATAGGAAGTTGCAAGGGAGGTACCGAGGGGAGGGGGCGGAGACCGGTGACCGAGGGAGGGGGTAGGAGCAAGGGAGCAGGGGGTGCGGAGGAGTGGCGTCGTCCCTATAAACATGTAGGTTCCAACTAGCTCGTCTCTTTTCTTCGCTTCCGATCCCTACTACAGACAGACACACACAGGCTCTGGCTGCTTGCCTTGCTTTGCTGTGCTTTGCCTTGCTTGCTGCTGTCCCAGCATTGCGAGAGAGAGCGATAGAGAGCCCGCAGGGGGTGTGTGTCACATTCCCCACAGCCCCTCCCTTCTCTTCTCTTCTTTCCCTTCTCCCCTGCCCTGCCCTGCCTTCCCTTCCCTTCCCTTCCTCGTACTTCGTCGCACGGTGTCGCTAGTGTAGTCTTCTTTTGGGGTGACGCTGCGTTGGCAGTGTGTTCGACGCAGTGGTGGAGAGCCAAGTACTGTGCTCTCTCTCTCTCTCTCTCTCTCTCTCTTTCTCTCTCTTGAGAGTGGTCGTGGTTCAAGTGGAACTGGAAGGGCCCGAGCCTGGTGGGTGCTAAAACGGGAAGCTTCTGCGGCTCGTGAAGCGCGTTTGGTACGTGTGTGGTTGTTTCTGACATTTCGAGGTGGATCCGAGCGAGAAGGGGACGGGAATTATCGCCCTCGCATGTGCAAAGGGTGCGATAGAGGTGTTGGGGGTTTGAGGCTCGGGGCTGGTCGTAGTGGGTTGTCGTCATGAATGTTTTGTAGTTGGAGATAAGGACCAGTTAGTTTTACCCTGCATCTGAGTTTTGAGCAGATCTGTTGGACCTTTTTTTTGTTTTTTGTTTTTTGTTTTTTTTTTCACGTAAAAGGGTGGTTCGATCTTCTGGGAGGAAACTGCGGGGTTCTGAACTCATTTTGTATTGGGTCTCTTCTTCGCCGCGCTAGTGTGATTTGTTGCTCTGATCTAGCTTTTGATCAAGCCAGCAATTTTACAACGTTGTCTTGCGTCTTCCTCGAATGTGCACTCCGGAAGCAGAGTTTGACACTTCCAGCCTCATCACAGCGGGGAGTAGAGAACTGGCTTCTCATGTCTAACTGGGCAGTTGCAAGGACAGGTTAGACAGGGGTAGTGAACAATTCTCGATGCACGTAGTAAATCTCATGCATTATGAGAAGGTAGTGATTTCGCATGTTGAGAGGAATGCAACTCGGGAGTGAGAAGGAAGCTGGCCAGAAGTAGCCAGTTCAAGAAGATCGATCTAAGTGTGGATTGACCCCACAGTAGGCACACACTTCGTGTTAACCGCCACAAGTAGCCTAATCATTCGTAGATCCTACCAGCTGATCACAGGAAGAAGCACTATCGGGTAATTGATCCTAATTGCATTCCCGATCTTCTGCATTCCCACGTACATACTGCCAGCGCACCCGGTTTAGAATAATAAGAACGTAACAAAGACTTTGTTGAATCCCAATGCCGACCAACATGACTAGCTTTGCGAGAACTCTCACCCTTGAGACGAACAACGACTCCTACGCTTCTGGAGATAACGGAAACGTTGAGTTTGGGAGGCTGATGGACTTAAAACCACGTCAGATTGAGACCCAACTTTCTCTCGATGAGAGGTCTATCAATGACATCATCTCCTCGGGTCTTTCTTCACCTCGTCCTCCTCGCCAGTTGGAGACTGCGAAGAGTTCTGAGTGCTTGGAAGCGCTGCTTTCTCCCAGCATCCGCTCGTCTGCCGGCACTCCTCGAGAATACCATGCTTTTGAGCCTCATCCAATGATTGCGGACGCATGGGAAAGGCTAAGGTTGTCCATGGTGTTCTACCGATCTAGGCCGGTGGGCACTATTGCAGCTTTGGATCCTGAAGAGGATTCCCTAAACTACAATCAGGTTTGCTTGCCATTACCTTTCTCTCATCTGGTTCTTCTGTAGGTGTTACGGATTGTCAAAAATGACACTGGGATATGGAATGTCGGTGTTGATCGCCATGCACAATGTGAATGAAATTGTACGCTATCAGGCATTGAACGTGTTTAATCAAGTGTAACAAGGTTGGAAACGTTCGGTATTTGTTCATTATCTTTGTTGCACCCATTATGGCTGTTCGAATGTAGCCGAACTGAGTCATGTGAGTACATATTTCAGAGTAACCTGTAGTTGACATGCGAAACGGAGGTAAAAGTGTACTTGTTCCTTGCTCTTGTAACAATTAATTGGAATATTTGTGTTCTACCTTGCGCCGTGGCAGTTCTTTGAGGTAGAATAAAGAGTTACATGGTGTTCTTATGATGGAGACGATAAAGTGTAGAAAGTTACGCTCCATGTGTCACATCTATTCGTTTTAACTCCCACGCCGACATACTACAAATGTTGTGGTCTTGTTTGGGAACTATATTTACTGTTTCCTGAGCGCACGTAACGCTGTGATTTAAGAGAGCCTGTTGGTTGCACCAAATTCAGTGTCGATAGAATTACCAACTGAAAGGCTGTTACTTCTGGGTGGATCACACCGTAAAGAAGTTCCAGTTGCAAAATACTCTGCATTGGGAAAACCGCAGCTATCTCCCAGAATCTGACATGAATTGCAAACGCAGGTTTTTGTGAGGGACTTTGTACCCAGTGCACTGGCCTTTTTAATGAATGGCGAACCGGAAATTGTGAAGAATTTCTTGTTGAGGACTTTGCAGCTTCAATCCGTCGAAAAAAGGATTGACTGTTTCACTTTGGGTGAAGGTGTCATGCCTGCGAGTTTCAAGGTATTACTGATGTTGTAGATCATTTATTAATTTGCTTCCTGTGCCCGAGTGGTCGTGTTTTGAACTTTCCACAAGTTTAAAGTTTTTGTGCATTATGGAACACCTTCTGGCAGATTGCTTCCTATGAAGCTAATGTAGCGCTGCAAGTGACTGGTGTCTGTTGTCAACGAACTTGCAGGTTCTCCACGACCCTGTGCGGAAGACGGATACCATGATTGCGGACTTCGGGGAGAGTGCAATTGGGCGAGTCGCACCAGTGGATTCAGGATTCTGGTGGATAATTCTTCTTCGTGCTTACACCAAGTCCACTGGCGATTACACCCTGGCTGACATGCCCGACTGCCAAAGGGGCATGAGGCTGATTTTATATTTGTGCCTAGCGGATGGGTTTGATACGTTTCCAACTCTGCTATGTGCAGATGGTTGCTGCATGGTGGATAGACGAATGGTACGTGTAGCTGAAACACCTATGTTCATGTAACTATATTTGTTCGCTGAATTATATTTAATATACGAAGGTATTTAGATTAGCACCCTGCTTGACAAGGTTTCACGATCAACCCTGGAATTTCGTCTCACCTTCATTGTATTCAGGTATTACATTGGCCAAGCATGTTGCTGCGGCACCTTAGCTGCATTTTCATGCAACATTCTGAAAAGAAAGGGATCTTTTAACTTGTTCGTTTTCTATGTTTTGAGTGTGCAGGGTATCTATGGGTATCCAATTGAGATCCAGAGCCTGTTTTTCATGGCTCTTCGGTCGGCTAAGAGTCTAATCAAGGCCGACGGCGATGGTAAGGAGTTTTTAGAGAAAATAGACAAGCGGCTCCATGCATTAAGTTACCACATGCGGGAGTATTTTTGGTTAGACCACCAGCAGCTCAATAACATCTATCGGTTCAAGACCGAGGAATATTCACACACCGCTGTGAATAAATTTAATGTTATTCCTGACTCGATTCCGGATTGGATTTTCGATTTCCTGCCATTAAAGGGTGGTTTCTTCATTGGAAACGTCAGTCCTGCACGGATGGACTTCAGATGGTTTGCTATCGGTAATTTCATGGCAATCTTAGGGTCACTTGCAACAGCTGATCAGGCCTCAGCCATCATGGATCTACTCGAAGCGCGATGGCCAGAGCTTGTAGGAGACATGCCTCTCAAGGTGTCCTACCCTGCAATGGAGGGACACGAGTGGCGCATTATCACTGGATGTGACCCGAAAAACACGAGATGGAGCTATCACAATGCAGGATCTTGGCCAGGTATGTTCATTTATAATTGTGTTTCAGTTTCGTCTTGGCTAGGGTCTACTTTTTTGCATGGATATTTCTTCCTGTTTGTTGAGCTTTAATCAAGGGCGACTGTTCTTCCGAATGACAAATTCAATTATTAAGCAAGGCAGTGAATTGGATTTACTCTGCCACTGATTGTTTTTGGGTTTTCTTGTTGTATTTGGAACATTGAGATTGGGCACTTTATTTTTTGGCGTTTCTTGAAAATCTGAAGCCGAGGTATAACAAGTCGAACCTCTAGCATTATGAAGCTGACTTCATATATCGCTCAATTCCTTGCTCCGTCGGGTTGTGTGTGCAGTCATTCTTTGGATGCTGACAGCTGCATGCATTAAGGCCGGAAGGCCGCAAATTGCACGACGAGCTATTGAGCAAGTGGAGACTAGATTATCTGCTGATGGATGGCCAGAATACTACGATGGAAAGCTTGGAAGATACGTTGGAAAGCAGGCTCGCAAGTTCCAAACTTGGAGTATTGCAGGTTACCTTGTCGCCAAAATGATGTTGGAAGATCCTTCCCACCTGGGGATGATTGGACTAGAGGAGGATAAGAAGATCCAAAAGCCTTCTCTTACTAGATCTGCATCTTGGACAGCTTAAGAAATGGCCAGCTTCATAGCTTGTCTGTCTGTAATAGTATCCTATCATAATTTTTTAAAATTTGTGACTAAAGTCCGGGTGGGAGATGTTGCAATTGGTAGGAGTGGAGCAGAAAGATAATCTCCCTTCAAGATGCCTCTATCATTGTCCTTTTGAACAAAGGGAGTTCATTGGTGGAGTGGCAATGCAGAAATTTGCACTGCAAATTCATATGGACAACAGTCCATTGTCGTAAAAGACGATGAGAAGGATCAGCACTGATGTTATTCTTCATCCAAGGAAGGCAAAAAATGTGTAGGGAATGGGAAAGTGAAGCGTTGTCGCTGCCATGGTGAACGGGGGCGGGGGGGGGGGGGGGGGGTTGCATATGGGAATGGAAGAACCGACATGAACTAAGGGGTCATCTTTGCTTGATGGAGTGCCTCCACTTACCACTACTTTTGAAAACCGCTACAAGCGTGGAGAAATTGAGCTTTCGTGAAGACGTAACACGTTGATTCAACCCTTGTACCGTTATTACCTCCTCCTACAGAGAAAGGCGGCTATAACATGAGAAGGGTGTGTAAAATGCTGAAGGACTGGTTTTCAGGCGGGTAATGCAGACATAGAATGCAGCAGTGGTCTCATGGTAGAGGCCATAATAAGCCCTTACTAGACCTTAGTTACTAATTTTCCCTCCACAGGAAAAGTTCAATTTTTTTTCACGTGTTATGGAGAGCTTTCTTTTCATGGTGCAGCTGCGCGTATGTTTTGCTGATCGTGTGCCCTAATAGAGTTTGCCGGCTACTTTCTCATGATTATCATATCCACTGCATTGGAAAAGTCGTCGATTCCCATCCATTGTGTTTTTTCTATTGGTTCAGGTTCAGTGTTTACGGTTTTGTTCCTTTCGATAGTTCATTTGTGTGGACGGAGCATTGATTGCATCTTGCCATTGAAGTACTGAAACTGTTTCCACCTTTATCAGGGAAAGTCTTTGGTTTGCGACGGATTTTGAGTTGAAAGACCTGTCGGACTGTGTTGTGTATCGTCTTTGCCCACTCTCGTTGTACCCGTAGTCAACAAATGACAACCTCGCAATCAATGTGGAAATTTAACGTGGACACTGATTGCGAATTTGATGTTGAGTTGAAGAGTTTACGACGGACCCATTGTTTCAAGTTGGAAAATCGGTTTACACAATGCAGCAATGTGATATTAAAGCAACGATTGTATTTTTGCTTAGAAAATGTGTCACACTCTGTACAAGAACACTTGAAACAAGCAATCACACCTGTTTCTACGTGGAAAATGGAAGAAAGTAAGTAAAGTATTGTGTGTAAGAGCCTATGCAACCCCAATATCTGGAGTTAATTTCATAATTAACGGGAACAGTTTTCCTTCACCGCTCTGGCTGTAACGCACTAGCTCTACAACTCAAAATGGCTCGTATCCAAGGAGTCGTAGTTCACTAGTGAGATGTTACAGCTCTACTTTGATAAATGAGTCGGACCGAGCATTGGGATTAAATTTGTAGTGGTCTTATACCACGTTGAATAGAAGAGACCCTTACATGAATACCCATGTGACGTGTAGAGATTCTGTTCTCCAACAAATAGAGACAAAACTGTCTCATCACCAGAACATCTCCCTTTTGAATGCCAAAAGGATTTCTGTTGCTTCATATACCTCCTTTATGATGTTTTAGCTTGAGTTAACTGTATACAAATTTATTTACTCACAATTTTCATGTAAAAATGAAACTTTCTTTCTGTCACACTCTCTCTACTAACCCATGGCCATAGATACGTTTGCATTAAAGATGTAGCTTGATCTTCGATACAACTTATCAATGAGGTTGTTAAGATTAAGAATGCATCACAATTTTGATATAAACCATGATAGTTGATGAAAATATTTTTAAAACTTTTATTTTATTTTAAATATTTATTAAAATATTTATTAAAATATTTATTAAATATTTTATTTTATTCTAAGAAAAATTTTAAAATTTTATTTTATTTTGGTACAAATAGGGAGATCTCATTGTATGAAAATATTGTGAGTGAACAAAATTTCTATAGTCTTAGTACCTCATCTTAGAGGCAAACTAGGAGTTTGAGTGGTGTTACATACTTATTAAGTACTTATTTTCTTAGAATTTTATAAATTATCACACCATGTAGAGGAACTCTGGTATTTTATTTAATTTTCATTTCCATTCTATATTCTATAGTACTATTGGCCATTTATAATCCATCCATCTTTCTAAGAAACGAAAATATGATACGGTTGTTTTTATTTATTTTTGCTAATGCATATTTTTACATAATTTTTCTATGATCTATAAGTTTTTTTTATTTTTTTTATTTTTTTATATAATAACTTCATGTCTTATAATTGTGCTATATGTCCTCAAAATTTTATTTTTCACTTATAGATTCTATATGGTTAAAAGCCAGATGCTTTTCAATAGCCATTAAATTGCATTGAATATTTTATAGTAGCTAAAATTTTCTAATAGAATTTTTTTCATTAGTTTTTTATATTTTATATTATATAATTATTTTAATAATGAAATTATTAATTCATTTCTATATCTTCCTAATCTAACCATATTTCTAAAATCAAATATTATTATTATTATTTCATATATAAAGATGGTACACACAATAAATAGATAAAATGTAAGTCACCTAGTATATAAATTCTCTATATATTGATTGTCATAATTATATGCCATATAAAATAAACCAACATGGCTCTAATTTTAATATATTTATATACATATATATAAAGAGAGAAAGAGAGAAAGAGATTACACAATATCATTTTTAAAATACCTTATTATTTGGTTATTATTCAATTTTATTGTCAATAGTTAGAATGTTGTAATTTTTTACCATATTTTACTATCATGTCATTGATTTTTTTTTGTTTTTATTTTTAGAACCATCTATATCCTAAGAGATTTAAAAATAGTTTTAAAATAAATCTATAGATTAGTTTTAAGGACTTTTATATTAATTTTCTTTTTCTTACATAAATACTATTATTTTAATAATATGTGCCAATTCTTCTATCTAAAATTAATATTGTGACTTTAGATGCTTTAATGTATTTTAATTTTAACATAAAGCTCCAAATTATTGTCAACTTGAAAAACCTTTATATTAATACAATTCTTTAAAGTACGTACACTATTATTTTTTAGTAATTTAAGACCATTTAATAACAAGAATATTATATTTTAAATAGAATTATGTAATACAATGTAGAGACTAGCTTAATCTTTACATTTAGGATATTATAGACATGCTTCTAATAAATTATTTAACTTTGCTGATTTTTTTATAAAATGGATTATGATAGTTTTATTTTTGAATTTTAATTAATAGATTAATTAATTGATTTCATTTCATTTATTTTATTCTCTTTTAAGTATTAATAATAAATCTTCTTATATTATATATATGTGTATTTAGTTTTTTACATCTTTCTTTTATAAAACATATTACTTGTTTTGATAAAATGTAATTGCCAATCACATGGTAATTATTATTTTACTAGAAAAATTGATTTTGTATTATTGTCATATTTTAATAGTATATTGATTGAGAAGATAGTCTATTTTAAAAATCATCCAATTAAAAAACACATAAAATTAAGAGAGAGCACAAATGAAAAAAACTTATGTTTTTTAATCCAAAATTTGGACTTCTTCTCATAAATCTTTTGGTCTCAACTTTAGCACTACATAAATATGTTAGTCTAAAGTCTAAGAGTTTGGGATTAGCCAAACTATGCAATAAGTTTGGGTAAGACTTAGTAATCAACTTAAAAACTTCCGGTTTATGATACAACTTAATATTTTTAACTTCTATTACAATAAATAAGTTGAAAACAAAACATCTAGTGTATAGAGTTTTGCACCAATTACAATTGCAAGCCACACTAAAATAATATTAATTTGATTAATACAAAAAAGTGAAAGTAGATGGAGATAACGTAAATATTCAGATTTACACAAATAGTTTAGATGGGATATTTGATTTAATGAGATTATCATAGTAAGAAATAGAGAATCTTTAATTTGGATTTTCTATTTAGTTATGACAGCTAGTCTCTTTTTTTGTTTTGGTGGATACTTTATTATTTTTCTCCTAATTTGATTTAATTTTGTATCTCAATCTTCAGTAGATCAAATAATTTGTTTTGCCTTACATTTTACAATCTGGATCTTAATTTAATTAAGGGGTTATTTATTTATTTGTTTACTAGGTAGGTTGGATATTTTTGACGTGCCTTAAACTCATAATACTAAAGAAAACTTTTGATTAATTTTTCATGAAATTATATATTATAAATTAAAATAAATATTAATATTAATTATAGTATATGTTCCTGCCAAAAAAAACTATTTTACTCAAATATACCTTCAATCAAGTTGTATTTTTTCTATTGCCAAAGCTTTAAAAATTGAAAATAATTTCAAATTTTTTTACAATTATCATTGAATAGTATTTAATATTTTTTAGATTCTTTTGTCCAGTATATATAAATATATATATATATATATATATATAAAGTTCTAAGATACTACATAAGATATATATATATATATATATATATAAAGTTCTAAGATACTACATAAGATATATTTTAATAGTTGAAATAGTTTTTGGTTAGAATCAGATAATTTCATTAAAATTAATCCTGAATTAAATTAGATTTTTTAATTTTTTTTTTAAAGAAGAGTCAATAAGCATAATTGTTTTTTTAGTTATTTAGAACTATTCTATTATTTCTTTTGTATAAATTTATATAATTTTTTACAAAATTATTTTAATAAATATTTAAAAAAGCTTTATCAACCTTATTTATATAAATTCTTTTAATGATATTATTTTTTTCACAAAACTTAATCTTAATAATACTAAAAGTTATTTTTTTAATTTTTTAAATAATTTATCACTTCTTTTAGCTTTAATTCTAAAAAAATATTAGATTTCTATTTTTAATTTAAATAATATTTAATTTGATATATTATATTATATTATATTATAATCTCTTTTAAATTTTTATACTTTAAATTTAAATAATAAGTATGTTTTTGTCAAGATTCATATTTAATATTATTTATTAAATAAAAAAATATAAGATTTATTAGATGCCTTTTTTAGATGTTTTTATCTTATATCAAAAGAAAGAAATGTAGTTCTTGATCAACAACAAACTACTCTTTTGAAGCCAACATGATTTCATCTTTGAGTAATAAAATCAACATTGATTGTTGATTCAATCTTTTTTTACTGTCTAATCAAGTATGTCCTCAAATCCTCTTGTTCATGTTATTAAGAATAATTCTTCTAAATCTCATGATACGTCTAACTTTAAATTTAAGAATAATTTATTTTATTTTAAATAGAAGATATATTAGATTTAAGGCATGACCAAAATAGGTTAAAATATCTTATGGATTGGTGCGGAAATAATATTATTGAACATACATAGAATCCATTTAAGAATCTTGTAAATACAATAGAAAAGGTCAATGCTTTTCATTGACAACATCCATCAAAATTAAGATATAGAGTTAAGAAAATCTTTGTTATAAACCTAAATATGTTAAAAAAAGATTACATTCTATCTTCTATTCTTATTTGTGGTTTTTTATATTTATGGCACTAAACAAATAAGGAATCAAAAACCAATTTTTTTATCATACCAACTATTATTTGTTGAGTTTACTTGTCAAGATATTACAATTATCATAATTTTTGAAATAATAAAATAAAAATAATATATTTTTTTTATTGAATAGAT